AAGAATATTCTCTTTCTGAAGGACAGAATATTTATTCCCATGTCCTTCTCTTTCTGAACGGCGGTTTCATCTGTGGCTTAAGGACTCTGGCGGCATGTTCCCTCCCCTCCCTGGGCATGCAACCTCTTTAGCGATGACACAGTTAGATACTGCTGACTCCTGAATGCGATCCAGGGGAAGCACGAACTCAAAACAAGGGCTGCTTCAGCCTGAAACAGAACACCGGTGAAACCCGGAGTTGGTCTCGCCTGTTCCCGGTTTTACTCGGAAAAACTCCTACGAGGAAGCAAAAATAAATGAAACTCTGCAGGCCCTTCCTTCCTTCGAGATGCCAGAGAGGACGCTACTAGGATATACAGCCTCTATTTTAAATGTTTCTAATTGGTTCTGCGTCTAGTTACCAGAAGCTCAAGAGAATAAAAACACAAAAACTGAAAACCTTATATTAAAAAAAAAATGAATATTCTTCCTTCTCTTTCCTTTGCTGGAGATCATCTTTCTGTAGCTTCAGTTAGCAGCAGGTCAGCAGTTGGCAGACTGATGGAGAAGTATTGTGACAGTATCTGTGTCTTGAAGCTCACAGTGGGGACAGCCTTTTTTTTTTTTTTCGTTAACCTTTTCCAGAATATAAGTACCCATGGCTTCGAAATGCATCAGAGTCCTGGAAAGAAAGTGAATTTATTAGTCCATTGATTCACACATGGAAAGGACTCACAGGAGTGAGCCATACTTAGTGAGTTTCTCATCACTTTGTTTTGGCCAATGCCCCTCTGAAAAGAAGCAGCTGTAACTAAGAGCCTAAAGAGGGAGCTTTCTGTTGGGGCTGCTTGGTTTTCTTGGAGGATCAGAAATAAGATCATAGACAGAGTTTTTACAGGAAAAAACAAACACACCTAAAACATTCAAGAAACTAGCTATTTTATTAATGGCTAAAATATATAAAGGGTTTACAAAATCCTTTAGCAACATCAACATGATTGCTGGCTTCTACACTTTTGAATTTTACTTGGCCTGTTTCAGGGGCATCATAGAATATATCAGAAGTTCTTTTGTTCGTGGCTTGCTAAAACATTTCTCTTGCTCTCAACATGTATAAGATAGATGGTAATATTTTGGTGTTCACTGACCCTCCAACACAACAGGCTGAAACTGGGATTGATAAACTCATTTGAAGATAGATAAAGATTAAAATTATATTCCAGGACAACTGTCCCAAATTTGGCTAAAAATAAGCAAGTGGAGATTGTGCTTTGACCGGACATTGCAACTCTATTCCCTGGCTGTCTCGCTTTGGCGCATGACCAGTGGGCTCTGGACAAGACATGCCAAGCAGTATGGTGACATAGGTTTTAAACGTTCTCCATTGCTGTCACACACCCCTGTCCAATGCCAGCTAAATACCCACCATTACACCAGCAAGAGGAAACCTTAGAAAACGCCAAGTGTTGTTTACACCATTTGGGGTGATTATATCAATGAATGTCTTGTGTTACAAGTCCATGTCCTTTAGGCTACATAATAATCAACAACGTAATATATTTATTATTACAAAGACAGATAATAATCTGAAAATTGCCCAGATTGTCCTGTTTAATCCTCAAGATCACTCTATAAGACCACCTTTTAATCAGTTGGCAGATTCCAGCTTAGGAATGCAATTAACTTCCCTAATGTATGACTCTAGAGCCTGCGTTCTGAACTAATTATACTCGTTTGATTTCTAAATGTCAGTGTAGCAAGCTTCTGAGTTGGTAAAGAACATTCAAGGGGCTTCCTTGCTGAAGACTCAAGTTCTGCCTGCACACCTGGGGTCAGCCAGCATCCCTCAAGAAGGAATGACAATTCCATCACAGGGTTAGCTGGGGTCTCCAGCCCTTCCTTTAAGAATGCATAAGTTTTGCCCAAGAAGGAAAAGAGCAGAAGCAGACAGCCTCAGTGGGAGGAAGGGAACAAAGATGGGAAGATGACAACGTGTCTGAAATCTCTTCCCCCACTTTGCTGACACAGAGTCTGTTCATGGCCAATGCTTCTCTGGTTGTAGACAAAGACAGCACAGGGAACTATGACTTCATGTTAGATTAGAAGAGAAAAGTTAAGATTCCAAGCATAGAGAAAAATCTTTCAAGTAAAAACTGTTGACTAACAGAGAAATGAAAGGAAATGACTTCACTCCACCTTAGAATCCCCTGATCCTCAATATTCTTCATGCTAACAAAATAGCTTTCAGAGAGTTACAAAAATACAAAACAAATACTCATAGGAGGAAGTTAGGATTTTGGGGTGTATATCTGCTTTGTTGTTGTCATTGTGGTTGTTTGTTTTTTTTCTATTTTCTGTTTATTTTTTTACTTTCTTTTTTCTTTTTTAGGTTGAAAATGAAAATAAAATGTTAAGTTCTTTGAGACCACTGGTGGGTAATGTTGGCAGCTTGTGATTGAGAAGCCAAGCCCTAGATAGGAATTCTCGTTTCATTTCTCTCCCTCCCAGTGAATAGAAGCAAAGGCAAAGGGATCCTCCACACCCAAGAGGAAACTCCCTCTGCTGTACAGCTTGTTACCTGCTGGAGAAACTCCCTAAGTGAAACCCACAACCCAGAGCATTCTCAGACACTTGCTAACCCTCAACACATTCCAAACATGAGCTTCCACTAAGGAGAACATGGAAAATAATATTCCACCACTCATGGGTGGTGAGCTTTCCAGACTGATGGAGCCAACGGCCTCAGCAGCACCACAGGGCCCTCGACCAGTTACCATTTGGTGAGCAGCTTTGGAGCCACCTCCAGTCTCCAATATCCAAAGCCAACCAAAGTGCAGACATGTAGATGTCCTCAGAAGGATAATACCTTGTAAAATAAAGTCTGCCCCTGTGCCTGTTGGTCTATAGGATTCAGTGGCCAGACAATTGGGGTGACTCCAGCCACCTCAAACATCTTTCTACTATGGGTGTTCACCAGCATCCAAAGAACCGAGTCAGCCCCCTTAAATGGGAGTAAACGAGTAAAGGAAACAGACAGACAGTTTAGCACACCAGCAGGGCTGTTTGTGTTTCTGTTTCTGTTTCTCACTAACCTTTGCTCTTCACGGTAGAGGGGGCCTCCCTGCTTCCAAATTCCTCTTTCCACAATTTTAATCACCCATGACCAACTGCCACCCAAACTACTAAATGGAGATTTCCAGAAATGAGTGATTCTCGTGTTTTAAATAACTGTTGATAACACATTATCACACTTGTTCTATTTACTATTAAAGCTAATCTCTCCCCGAGCATACCTTATATACTATGCCTACTTTATTATAGCTGTGTTTATGTAGCAAAAAACCCTCGTCTTTATAGATTTGGGAACTATTGCAGGTGCAGGCATATACTCAGGGTAGCAGACGTGACCTCTGTAGAGAAGAGATAGAACTCTACAAAGGCAAGGTTGGACAGGCATGCCCTACAGCTGTGAGCATTGTCTTATTGTCCTCAACATCGCATCATAACTAAGAGTCATGTTCCCTGTCAACTAACTTAGATGCTGGTTACACTCTGCCTATAGAATGGGGTTCTTTGCTCGGAAATGAGTTTTCTTAACGACTTCCACCATTACGTTGCTCTAAATTCCAGTTCCCCTCTTCTATTATGTCCAGAAGGAAATCAGGAGCTTTTGACAGGTTTCTGTAATCCTTAGATACGATTAACTATTTTGGGAAGAAGCCCTTGACACTTGGATTTCTGCTACTATGTAGACGGAGTCCGGAAAGGAAGGTGCGGCATCTTCTCCTGCTGAAGACTAGGTTGTACATATAACTCTGCACAGGTGCATTCTCGTGACCCCTCTCCGCCTCTGCCCTCCAGGTGCTGAGTGAAGACCCACTCACCCCCTCTCTGTGAAGCATAAAGGTCTTTCTTCCTTTGATCACTGCTTCCCAGAATTTTATGTGTTTCTTCCCTCCTCTGAGCTTATCATGTTCACTTGACAGCACATGGTTTTTATTAAAATAAAGATATTGTATGATTTAGAAAACACATTCTCTTTCGGATTCCCAAGAACAATGGGCTTCTTTGATTTTCATCTCTACTCTGACCATAGGAACCTGGGTGAGATCACTCATGCAGGGGGAGTCTCGAGCAAAGTCATGAGGATGGAATTGATATCCATAGGTTATGCTGAAGGACAAGTCCTTTCTTACCAACTGAAAGCAGGCCATGTGCTGGCTTCGAGTCATATTTCAGGACATCAATTTTGATAACTGGAAAATACTAATATCTGAAGACCACACCTTCCCTAATATCTCTTCCAGCTCAAAAGTATTGCCTTCTTGCCAACGGGTAGCAAATGCTGTGACAACTAATTAAAGGAAAACAATGAGAAAAACGTCACAACTGGTAAAGGACCAAAGGCAAAAAGATCAAACTATCCTCCCTTATCTTTTGAGTCATAAGACGAAACACACTTGTCCATGTGTACATATAACTCACAGGCAAGTTTCCTGGTCCACCTGAAGAAATACAGGGGCACCTAGAACTTAAGAGAGTCAGAGAAATTTGTAGCAACAGGGAGTGTCTGCTGGTGGCCCTCAGAGATGTATGTGATTCAATCAGACGCACGGTGCGTGGTGGAGATGGGCAAAGCAGTAATGGCTCTTTATTAAATCGAATGTCACGGGTCTAGCTATCTGGCATAGGAAGTAACATTTCAGAAATGCTTATGCACTTGTAGATGTTCAAGTAGACATCGAAAGAGTAGGCAGGAGGAGAGATAAAGTGGTTGGTAAAATTGCCAAGCTGAAGTGTGAAGTTCAGGGTCAGGTTTGGAATAATCACCATGAAAAATTCATCTGAAGAATAGTTACTAAACTCCAGGGCCAAACATCACAAACTTCAAATTCAGGGCAGATAAATCCTTTTGTTCATTTCATTGCTAATTAACTGGGACTCTCACATTTCTAATGTTTATTTTTAAATTAACACTCTAATTATAAAAATAGTGTATAAATCAACATTCAAAGATGAACTATAATGTAGATCACATCTATTGATATCGCTGATTAAATATAACAATGTTGCCACAAAGTTTACCTCTCACTTGAGGAATATTACTGTATCTTTGAAAACAGAAGAGTTCGAAAAGAATTAATGCCAAATGTATTCACATTGCAAGGTGACCAAACCTGCCATGGGACCTTTGTCAGTGTCCCAATCTGAAAACTCAAGGAACTGAGTCAAATGACTTCAAAGGTCCGTGACAGTTCTAACTGATTGCTAATTACACATATGTACAGTCTATAGGAATAGGAATTGTTAATCAATCACACATAGTTCTTGACATATGGCATATTTCAGATGGTGGTAACAGAAGGTTCCTATATATTCTAAGAGATGAATTTTTTAGTTCTTTGGTTCTTTTTTCAGCAATGAGTTTTCCTAATGGCTTCCATCATTGCATATCTCCAAATCCAAGCACTGCCCCCTTGATGTCTGTAAGAAAATCAGAAGAACTTGGTAGATTTCTATAATCCTTAGATGTGATTGGCTGTTGTGAGGAGTTAAGGTCTGTGACACACAAAGGCACAAGACAAGTATGTGGCTCATCCTTCAAGTTTGTTTGGAAAGTCATCCTGTTTTATAGGTAGGTGTCCAAGAGCTTCAAAAATGTAAAGTCAATAGCTCTGTTCTCAACTGTAAGAATTTTTGTTTTATGGTGATAGAAGAGAGACTCTGGAAAGACCCAACAGCCTTCGCGTAGTGAACTATTTTCTATGGAGCAAAGGATTGTGGGATTTGTAGTGTTCTCTGCTATGTCTATGCTCGGCTATCCATCTGGACCCGGTTGCTGGTGTCTCCTCCTCGGTCTGCTCTCCAGATTCATACTCCTCATCTACTGCATAGAACAGTGGCTTGGGCCGGATGACGTCCCGCCTGCCCCATCCAGCATGCTCCTCCCAGCTGCTGTTGCTCCGGTAGCTGAAGCTGAGGGCCTTCTCTCCTCTGTGAAAGCTCTTCATCGGGATCATTGCCTGGGTCTGCCGTCTTTCCTGAAGGGACCCTGCTCGCGAGTGTGCTCTGAACATCAAGGGCTGGAGTCCGGGATCGATGCCGTCATCATCTAAGAAGACATCGTGACAAGAATGGAAAGAAAACATGAAATGGGAGTTAAGACTTCATGCCCAGGTGCAAGAAGGCTCAAGACTGCAGCTCCTGCTCTCCGCTTTATGGCTAACGTGACTTTCCCTTTCAACACCACAACCTCAGAGGAACGGGGTGGGCAGCGCTATATGCTTGGTGCTATAAATAAATGGGGATGCGTGGAAACCTGTGTGTCCAGCCAGTCTCCCCAGATGTGTAGCAGAGTAGCCTTTCACACTAACGGATTAATAATAACATAAAGCATTTACTTAAAAAAGTTTTGTCTTCTAAAAAATAAATGCTATACTAGTGGGGGGGGGAGTGGGAAGTCAAATAAGATCCCAGGCAGTGACAGATGCCCCCTGTCAATGGAGTCGATTGCGAGCAGACTGCAGTGGTCCACGATGACAAGGTGGGGCGGTGTGCCTGTCTCTCTCCTTCTCGTTTTGCATATTTTATGCCACTTAATTACCTTAATGGCCCTGAGAGATGTATAAACCCATTGCCCTCAAATCCTATGGAAAATGCCTAAAGTTATTGTTCAAGATGAGGTGACTTTCAGGATGAGACGGCTGGCAAAAGTGAGGTTGGAGCCATTCCCCTGTGTCCTCAGGAGATAGACCAAAACTCACACATGCTCCGGTCTCTCATATAAAACGGCACAGTGTTTGCATATAACCTACATACACCCTACAGTTTCATTTAAGTAATCTCTAAACCACTTAAAGTACCCAATACATTGTAAATGCTAAACAAATGTTTGTTTTATTGCATTTGGGGGGTAATAAGGGTGAGAAAAAAGTCTTCTTAGATGCAGAAGTCAGCTGTACATATCACATGTATGCTGCTAAGGCTGTGTTATGAGGGGCAGGATCACCAGGTATCCATGTGATGCCCCGTTTTTGAGTCATTTCAAGACGTCTCTCCTTTCCTAAAACACAGCACCTTTTCCTCCCCTTCAACGAGGGAGCTTTTTCACAAATGTCATCTATTGTTTCTTCCAAGCTTTAGACTCATGAATTTATTTTTCCCTGACATGTTCTCCTCAGACTTCCAACATTTTCAGGCATTTATTTATAAATCTGAAAATTGTTCTTTCTCCCACATCCTATCCCCCACCCCTAAAAATGCAAAAAGAAAACAAAGCCAAAAGAAGCGACAAGAAATTAATACTTTATGTCTAAAGTCTTGCACTTGACAAAAATATGCATATATTACTAGACACAAGAAAAGTGTAAATACCCTGTTCAGAAATGTTTTTCCAAAATGCAGTCAAATCATCACAGGCAGGTAGCTGGGGGCTGACATAGGGGATGCTCTATTGGAGGTAAAGATAATCTATTTGCTTGTTTTCCTTCCCAATTCCCACTTAACTGGTGCTGAGTGGAGTTTGAACCTCCGTTCCTTCTTCCAGCTCTTTTGGTATTTGTAAGACTCTTTGAGGTGTGGACACTCCCTTCCGTCCATAAACCCTATCTTGTGTTTCTTTCTATCCACTCCTCCAGAGGAAGAACTCTCCGTGAGTGGACAGAGTCTAGCCAGTCTCACGGCCTCCTTCGAGGTTAATGGAAAGTGTAGCTCAAGCTTTTAGAAGAGGCTTGCCAAGTTAAGCTAAATGTAAGTGACTACCTCTGCTCAAAAAGTGAAGGGACGTTCTGTAATAGAGGTGGAGGAGAGAGGATGGGACCTATACTTGGTCTTCCTTCACATGTCTACCTGCAGGTGAGCACCCAGTCCTCTTGTCCCAGCGAAGGACAGTGGTTACCTCTCAGGTAATACCTGAGTATCTTTACCTTCCTCTGGACTAACAGGCTTAACTACCATGGCTAAAAGAGAAACAGGAAAAGTGCTTTTGCTTGGGGCAGGGTGGAGCCAAAGCCTCAGGGGATTAGCTACTTGGTACAATTTGCATTGTTTAGTGATTCACACCCAGAGAGCAATACTTCCTTATCTCTTCACTTTCAAAGGTATATGTGTACACATATATTTTTAAATATCTATTTAATATATATTAAACCATTTCAACCATTTCCCAGTACAGTTCAATGGCACCAAGAGTTTTCCTGCTTCTATGTAATCCTCAACTCCATCCATCTCTAATTCCATTGGTTTAAAGTTGTCTCACATGTAAGAGAGGTTTTAGGGTGAGGATCCCCATAATTATAATAAAACATGAACCCCAAAGGTATAAAATCCTTGAAAGAGTATGCAGATCTCTAAAAACCATCATGGAATTCACAGACATCCTGTCAGGGGCATGCAAATCTTGGCAGGCCTGCAAAAGAACCAGGAAAGACAGTGGATTCACAGTGGTTGGCCAGGCTACCTGGTTGAGGAAGCCATGCCACCCAAGGTCTCCTAGCTAGACTATCTCTCTTCTCCTGGTTTTCAGAAAGAAGGTGATCTCAAACAATCAAACTTTTAGCCACACATCGAGGACTCTCCATTTCATTGTGATTGCTTCCATGGTCTTTGCGGGAGGGGGGTGGTCTGTTTTTCGTTAATTCTTGTTACATACTTATTGCTAAATATGTAAAAACAACCGGCTCAGTCTGGTTAATCTTATTTGTATGTGTATGTTTCAGGGCCGGCCATTTGGTAATGAATAACTAATGGGTGTGTCCTTCCCTATCTGATCTGCTGGTGGTATCCTTGTTCACGTCACGGTGAGGCAGCTGTGCTGGTGAGAAGTACTGAGTGAGACTTTAGGAGTGTAGCTTCTCACATTGACCGTAATCTTTTAAAACTAGCTAAGGGGGGCTGGTAAGTTAAATTTCATTACCCTCGTCTCTCGGATTTCTAGTTCAACCACTCTCATCTGGATGAGATTTAGAACCAATTTGGCATGTAAATAGAAAGGAAAAGCAAACCAGCAAAAACTGCCAGAGATTATAATTTTTCTTCAACTCTGGATTAATTCATGAGAAGTTCCCATTTTGAAGAGTTCTTGTTCTTCCCATGGCTAGTGTTTCCTACATGCGTAGTTGGCTATAAGCCTGTGTAACAGTCTATGGTTCCTGTTCATGTGTGTATCCGTGTCTCATTTCCAGTCAATGCTGTGTCATAGATGAAGGCTTCCAGTACTATTCCTCTGCAAAGGTAACAGCAGAGACAATATAGATGTTTCCTTTCTAATTCCTGTATGTTTTTGCTACAGTTTGTCCCCACAATAAACTCTTGTTAAGCCATAATTATTGAATGTAATGAATTTGGAAGGTATTCAGGAGGAATTGTTCTCAGAACACTGGGCATCGCTCTCTGAACAGGATGTTATTACATAGGAGAGTTCCCTGCCTTGTCTTCTCACGCATGTGCCTGCCCAGTGTTCTCATGGACTGTGGCTGTGTGATGTCATTAGTCATGGGATGACATTTTCATGAAAACTTTACTTGATGTGGGCCGTCGATCTTGTGCTTTTCTGCCTAATGAACCATGAGTCAAGTTAACATCTCTTCTTTATAAATTACTTGGTCTTAGGTGTTCTGTTTAGCAACAGCAACAAAAACCTGCTAAGGGAGTGCATACAGTTTCCAGGCATTGATGGCTTTTACGGAAAATATGCTTGAGATGCTATTTGTTTAAGGAACCTACTAAAGGGTTAGGATAAACGAAACTCGTGAATCCATTGAAGCTGTGGTTGCCCGCACAAGATCAAGCCAAACAATATTCTAGCATACATTGGGGAGGAGTTCATTGGCCTCCACCCACGCTTAGGAACTATAGACAGATGATGGCTTCAGGGTGAGGAAGAATCGCTTTTCTTTAAGATATGACTCCAGTTAGGGCAACTTTGTTCCAGTGGATGCTCCACACCCGGGAATATAGGCATCACAAATTGGAGTTGGTCAATCACTTTAAATAAAAAAGGACATGATATTGGGGGGGGCGGTTGATAGTGGTACGGGACAGGGTATCTGCAAGGAACTAAAGGAAGCAGTGGGACAAATATGATTAAAATATATTGTGTGACATTTGCAAAGAATTCGCAAAGTATCATAAGATAAATGTTAGAGTCCCTTCACCAATTAAAACTGATGAATACATAAATACATTTTCAAATACCAAACAACTCCTACCTTCTGGAATGAAGCACACATTGCAAGGTTTAGTATTTTAAGGGACTGTGTGACTGTTCGCTGTAATTCTTGTTTACACTTGCGCATCCGTCCCCCAAGAACATGCCTGCTGTCAGCCCTGGGTCAGAATCCTGCAGTATGATGACCATCCCAGAAGAGAGCTGTGACACGTCCTTGTTTTCTATTCACTTAAATGATGAGATTTATCTTGAGTTATTAGACTAAGAAAGAGATTCTAAAACCCATCTGTTCATGTCCCAAGTTTGTGTATCTCTTTTTAATTCCCTTTACTTTTGTTTGTGAAATGCCTTCACAATATCAAATGACGCTAATTACCAGAGTGTCATCAGAAGCAGACAACGAGATTAATGAAACAAAATTACTAGCCCCAAAGCCCTCTTCAGCAGGAAGGAATTTAATGTAAAGGTGGTCGTTCGTTTTGAAGAAGAAGAAGATGTGTTAGAAGGAACAGAGTCATAGCAAACGATCTGAAGGGTATACTTGACTTACTCCATATACAAAGAAAAGGCTCAAGATGGGTTGAAATGTAAATAGATTTGCTCTGTGCAATTGACTAGTATTTTATCATTAAAAATGAGAACTAAATTCCTACCTGTTGAGATGAGAAATCTACCTTCTCTGGGACACTGTCCAATGAACTAGGAAATTTAGGGTTGGCAGGCAGAGGGAGAGGAGACAAAACACTCGCTCATGTTTGATGTAATGTATAGGACAGTAGGATGCTGCTGGGCTTCCAATGAGTCTTTATGTAGGACATTGGCTCTGTGAAGGTCAGTGTAACACAGAGAGAGGCCTACAGAAGGGTATAAATGTTCTGTAGTGATTACACCTGACTCTTTAAAAGTCTGTTTAACTCCTTTCATTGTGTTTTCCCAGTGATGGAGTTGGGTTTGACAAGAAGCCATTTTAAGCAAGAAAGACATAACCAAAAATCCCTTTATTTTAAAGAATAATCATATCTCCTATAATAAATAATTATTTTAAGGTCCTGTGCCTTTAGCTTATTTGACTACCCAAAGTGATTTTTAAGGTTTAAATGAGTATAAAATCGAGTGGCTATCATGGCATATGATTGCATTATATATTACCCTTTTCTAACAAACATCATTTTGATATATATTTAAAACACAGCAAATTTATGAGAAAAATGAGCTTTTTCAATACCTAGGAATCTCGGTTACGTGTTGAATGGGTAACTGTTAATATGACTAAATCACCCCAATAAAAGTTAACCTAATATTTAAATTGCATTGAACACTTACAATGGCCCAAAAGTGATCCTTTTACACATATTTAAGACACCAGCACCAGTGAAGAGATCATGTGACCTGCTAATCATTGCTACTCCCTAAACGGCTGGGAAAATTAAAACAGGATAGTAGCGCATGACAAAATTGTGATGAGTTCAAATTTCTGTGGCCATAAATAAAATTCCGAAATTTATTTGGAAAGGATGCTTTCATTTTTTTGCTCACTCAAGTTTCTACTTAATAGTCCTGATTGTGCCTCTTGGCTCTTGGCCCTCACGTCTCCAAATCTTCACCCTCTGACCCTGCACAGGGGAAACAGCAGCCAAGAGTGGGTTACCTGTGAGTTCAGCAGCCCTTGCTTCTCTCCTTGCTGACAGGGGATTGCTGTAGGGGAAGGAGAGGTAGCGAAAGTTCTTGGTACCCGCCTGTGAGTAACGAGAAGAAGCAAAAGCAGAATGAGCGACTGCGGTTTCAATTGGCACACAGTCAGTGAAGGGAAGGAGGCATTTAATCATTTAATTACATCTTTGGTTTAAAGGAAGCAAAACACTTCTGACCTTAATAGATATTTCCTCTCTCTCTCTCTTAATATCTATTTCCTCTCTCTCTCTCTCTCTCTCTCTCTCTCTCTCTCTCTCTCTCTCTC